CCCCACCGCTGCCCCCTTGCCGTGCCCCATGGGCACCCCACTGACCGGGGCTCTGCCTTCCCAGGCTCTGGGGTGCTTCTGAGCAGCAGTAAAGGTGGTTGGGGACAGCCTGGCACCACTCATTCTGTTCATCGGTGCCCCACTCGTCCTGGTGATACAGTGTGGTGGGGAACAGGGCGGCCGGGGGGGGCTGTGGGGCTGGCGTGGTGGGTGCCGTGTTGGGGGGCAGGGCGGTGCCCCGTGGGCAGAGCAGCCATGACCAAATGGGGCCCCCCCCACCCCAGGGCCCTGCTCCCCCCCCCACAGCGGGGTCTGGGACACAGAGCCACCCACCAGAGCAGGTGAGGGGACTCATGACCCCTCGTCCCCGTCCCCAGCCCTGATCCATCCTAGAGGCAGGCTCTGCCGCCTGCCCACCCCACCTCCCAGGGGAAGGGGTGTTGACCCCCCCTCATAGTGTCCCCCCACCGTTGGCAGCCCCAAGCATGTTTGGTCCCCGCTGAGGACTCAAAGCCCTGTCACGGACTCGTGGGCACAGGGAAGGGAGTGACCCACCCCTGCCCCACTGTCCCCGAACAACCAGGGCCAGAGGATACTGGGACGTTTTATTAGGTAGAGCCGGAGCAGCTGAGGACCACTGTCACAGGGCCCTGGGGACCCCAGAGCTGCAGAGCTGCGACAGCGAAGCTGGGCTGGGATGGGAGGGAGGGGGTGACCCCGGGGATCAGTGCGGGGACAGGGGCCTCTGGGACGGGGCAGCGTGAGGCAGAGGCGACGCTGGGGGGCAGAGGACGGACAGCGGCAGAGCAGATCCGCAGGGGCAGGAGTTCATTCAGGAGCTCTGTGGGGAGAGAAGAGGGGGTGACCACCGGACTATCGTGTCCCCAGGGCTCTGCCCCGGCGCTATCAGGGGACATGCTCCATACGGACACGCTGCCATTGGGAGCAGGTGGGGACCAGCCCACAAGGGAAGGCTGGACCAGGGTCAGGGGAGATGGGCAGACATTACCTGCAGCCTGGGGAACGAGGCACCCTGAAACACGGAGAGACGAGGTCAGCGTCAGAGCAGGGGCAGAACCGCAGCCTCCGCCCCGTGCACAGGAGACACCCCAGGGACCCTCCACCCACTCTCCCGACAGCTCTCACCTTCTTGCGCATGTAGAGGAAGAGCCCCAGCGCCAGGAAGATGAGTCCCAGCACGAAGCCCCCCACCCCCGTGAGCATCTTGCTCCTGGCGGCGTCCGACTGCACCTCTGCGGGGACGAGAGCAGGGCGTCAGGGCTGGGGGGGCCCCCGTCCCACTCCCCAGCGGGACCAGGGGCTTGGGCCCCCACCCCACCAGGCTGCCGGACAGGGCAGGGCCTTACCCCACTGCTGGGTGATGGGGTGCTGCAGGCTGACGTGCTCCACCTGGCACACGTAGGTGTCCCCGCGCTGCGGGGTGGTTTCCAGCATCACCAGCACCTGGTAGGTCCAGTCTCCGTTCTGGATCATGTCCGTGGACACCACGTGCTCCGTCTCCTCCTGCCCGTTCTTGAACCACTTCACCTCAATCTCCGCGGGGTAAAACCCCGTCACGTAGCAAACCAGCCTGTTGGTCTGGGGCAGGGAGCTCGACTGCATGGGGGAGACCCTCACCTTGGGCTCAACTGGGGGAGAGCGAGAGAGAGCTGGCAAGGGGCTGGCAGAGCCCAGGGGCCACCCTGCGTGCCGGCCCCCACCCTCGGACCAGCGGTCCCACGCAGGACGTGCCCAGCAAGGGGGTGAGGGACTCGCGTCCTGGTGGAAGGGCGCAGGGGCTTTGCCCGGGGCCAGGCTCAAGCACGGCACAGACACGCTCTCTCCCCGCCTGCGAGCTCAGGGACTTGGCTTGGGCCCGTCCCCCAGGGAAATGTTCTGGCACGCACTCACCTCTCCTCTCCACGATGAAAGGGGTCGACACCTCGTAGTTGTGTCGGCAGAACGTGTCCACCCCAGCCCGATGCCTCTCCAGTATGTCCGGCTGGCTGTTCCAGTACTTGGCATCTGGCTCACCCAGGAGGGTGTCGGCCACAAAGTGACCCACATCGCTGTCAAAGTGCGCCCTCTGCTCCCGGTTGTAGATGTCCTTCACCAGAAACTTCACCTGCTTTCTGCCGTTGAGGTAGTGACACTCAGCCTTAGTCATCTCCTGGAAAAACCCTGTTTGTGCAGGGCGGCAGGTCATGGGAGGGCAGGGAGGCACCATGGGGCCCCCTCCCCACCACCATTCTCCTCCCAGCCTCCCCCAGAGCCACACAGCTGCGCTAGGACTGGAGATGGGATCCTGACCCCGCAAGGACTCCGTTTCTCCGCCTGGGGACTGCGGAGAGCTGGAGGGGACAGAGCCCAGGGGAAGGGAGGGGCAGGAGGGAGCCAGAGCAGAACCGGGCCCAGAGGCGCTTCCCGGGGTTCAGCGAGGGCGGGGAGCATCATCCCCAAACCGTTTGGGAACCGGGTCTCACCTGGAGCCCGCTGCTCCCAGGGCCCGCGGAGGACAGACGACAGGACGAGGGATTCGGTGGGGGCAGCCCCCGGCGGCCCCCCAGCCCCAGACCCCCAGTACCTGCCCTCAGGACACGTGTGGGATCCAACCCCACCAACACCCCGCCCGTGCCCCGGCTCTGAGCTCACCTGAGGTCTCCTGGCCACCGCCCGGCTGGGCTCCCAGCACCACCAGCGCCACCAGCACGGCCCCAGCTCCCAGGACACGACCGGTCTCCATCGCTGCTCACAGCAGAGGCTGGAAAGGTGCTGGGACCCCCCAGGAGAGCCGGACTCTGCCGCTTTGGGGTACGGCCCCGCTCCTGCCCAGTGCCGGGGCTGGGAGTCCCAGCGAGGACCAGTGAGGAGCGAGGCTGGGCAGCATCAGCCGTCACCAGGCAGAGCCGGGCCCCGCAGGGCTCCCGCTGACACTTGGTCCGCGCTGGGGCAGCGACCCCGGGGAGGGGGCTGCCGGCCCCCGCCAGCACTGGGGCTCCCCGGCCTCGGCGGCCGCCACCTGCCCCCTCCCCAAAGCCCTGTCCGGGGGCGTGCGCGGCCCGAGTTCAACGGTGCACCCCTGCGGCGCCCTGCCGGAGCGTCCGTCCGTCTGTCTGCTCTGCAGGGTGCTGGGTGCTGCTGCTCTGCCTGGGAACAGCCGAGTCAGAGGCAGGGCTCCCTCCTAGTGGCTGGGCACCTGGGGGGGCCCTGTCCCCCGGCCCCGGGGGCCCCGGCACTCAGCTCCCCGGCCCAAGAGCAACGCCTGCCCCTCGTCCGGTCCCGCTCTCGCTGCCCGCTGCCGGGAGAGGCGATGGCCGGAGGACGGGGCGTCCCGCTGGCGCTGCTGGCAGTGCTGACCCTGCAGGGCGCGGGGGCCGTGAAAGGTGCGTGAGGGCACCGGGGCGCTGGGGTGGTGGGTCTGGGGGCAGAGGTGGGGCGTGGGGTGCCCTGCACCCACGGGGCGGGCGGTGGGGGGCTGGCGTAAGGCTTGGGGCAGGGCCCTGGCCGTGGGGAGCTCCGTCCCTCCATCTCACCCATCCCCTGGGTGGACATGGGCTCCAGGTGCACCCCAGGAAGGCAGGGCAGGGCAGGAAGCGGTGGAGGGGGCCGGGACGCTCGTTCCTGGACCTCCCCCGGCCCCGGTCTCCTTGCCCTCCTGCTCCCCCAGTGCCCCAGCTCGGGGCTCAGGTCCCCGCAGCACCCACCGCTCCTGGGTCTCCTCCCTTCGTGGCGGCTGCGCCCCGTGTGGCCTGGCCCAGGCGGGGTTCGTGCGTGGGGCAGGACAGCCAGTGCCCAAGTCCTTGGGGCCCCGGGACCACCACCCCATCCCGCAGCACCTCTGGGGACAGGTGCCGGTGGTCCCACAGCCTGTCACCGGCCCCGGCCCCAGGAGATGAGGAAGGGAAACCTCCTGGTGGCATGGAGGTGCTGGAGTTGGGGGCTGGGGGCAGAGCGGGTGTCCGAGCGCTCCCTTTCCTGGGGAGGGGCGGGTGTCAGCACCTGCCCAGCCCTGTGGGACCCCTGCGGGAAGGGAGAGAGGGAGGTTCCGGGTGGGCCCTTCTCCCCATCAGGGCCTCCCTGCACCCACGCAGTGTCCCCAGGGGGAGCCCGCGGGGAGACGGGGCGAGCCCTGCGGCAGCGGGAAGGGCACTGACCCTAATGCCTGTCCCTTCCCAGTGCGGAACGTGTTGATCCAGGCCGAATTCTACCAGCGGGCTGAGACGCTGCAGCAGGAGGGCGGCGAGTTCATGTTTGATTTCGATGGGGACGAGATCTTCCACGTGGACCTGCAGAAGACGGAGACCATCTGGCGCCTGCCCGAGTTCGGGAACTTCGCCACCTTCGAGGCGCAGGGAGCTCTGCAGAACATGGCAGTAGCAAAACAGAACCTGGAGATCATGATTCAAAGGTCCAACCGCTCGCAGGCCACCATCGGTAACAACCCGGCCGCAGCACGGCCAGCGCCTTCAGCCCCGGGGACGCTGCCAGGGCTGTGGCTCCCACACCCTGCGGCCCAGCCGCCAGCGGGGTGCACGGCACCCTGCTCCCCTGGAGCGTGTGGGGACGCGGGCACAGCCCTGAGCCGGGCTGCGGGGTCTCCCTGGGTGGGCGGAGGAGCACAAGGGGGCCAGGTCGGTGGGGCAGGAGGCCCCAGCCCAGCCCGAGGCAGCAAAGCCTGGCTGACCCGAGACTGCAGTAACCCCTTCTCCATCCCCTGCCAGTGCCACCTGAGGTGACGGTGTTCTCCGAGGACCCCGTGGAGCTGGGGGACCCCAACATCCTGATCTGCTACGTGGACAAGTTCTGGCCATCCATCATCACCATCACGTGGCTGAGGAACGGGCAGGTGGTGACGGACGGCGTCCTCGAGACCGTTTTCTACCCCCGGGAGGACCACAGCTTCCGCAAGTTCTCCTACCTGCCCTTCATCCCCACCCGGGGGGACTACTACGACTGCCGCGTGGAGCACTGGGGGCTGCCCACCGCCCTCCTGAAGCACTGGGGTGAGGAGGGGGGCCGGGCTGGGGCCCGGATGCCTGGGTCCCCTCCCCTTGCAGGCAGCGAGGGGGGCTCAGCGCCCCATCCTCACCCACCCTCCCCCCTCCGCAGAACCCCAGCTGCCCCTCCCCGCCTCCGAGAGCACCGAGACCCTGGTGTGCGCCCTGGGCCTGGCCGTGGGCATCGTCGGCATCATCGCGGGCACCATCCTCATCATCAAGGCCATGAAGATGAACAGCGCCCGCAACCAGCGGGGCGTCTTGTGAGGGGGCAGGGCCCAGGGCTCCCAGCCTCCCCCCAGCTGCACCCTCTGCACCCTCAGTCGGCCTTCACCTTAGCCTCGTGGGAGCTGCTCACCCTGGTGACCCATATGCCTGCTCCACTTCATCAGCAACCCCCCCCCATTTGCGCACCACTCGCTGACATGCTGGAGACGTCTCCAGAGCCAGACCTGGCAGAGTCCAGTTCCCACAGGGACTGGGCTGCTTCCAATGGCTGGGGCGATCTCAGGTGGCACCTGGGGCTGCTTCAGCACACGCACTGCCAGGGGAAACTGCTGCAGAGCCTGGGAGCCTACAGTGGTCCCGGTACCCAGCCCACACCCCTGCCGTGCTGGGGCTGCCCTGCCCACAGCCCCTGGCCCCACGGCCATCTCCAGCTGGGGACGTGGCATCTCCTCCCAGCCCAGATGCGGGGTCTCCCCTGCAGACCCCTGAAGGGAGGGGAGGTGTGCCCTACCCCAAAGCTCCCCCTTGGCACACCGTCCTGGACTCTCCACTCCTGCTGTGCTGCTTTGTCACCACAATAAAGTGGATTGGGGCTCATCCTGCCATGCAACCCTCACTGTGAGTCCATTCTCTGCATGTGCTAGGGGGTGACTGCAGCTCTTGAAGCCCCCTCGATGTCTGGGTGATTTATGGGGCGGTGGGTTGTGGGCGTTGGGCAGAGCTCCAGGGATCTAGCTCCAGCTTTTGGGCAGAGGGAAGGGGTAGGGTGACCTCAGGACTCCTGGGTTCTCCCAGCCGATGTAGGTGGGATCTTAGCACCTCTAAAGAGCAGTCCCATGGGGCAGGCACCCATTTGTGGCTCCTGGGGTGACCATAAAGCCCATTGGCAGATAACCATGCTCATGGCAAGGCCAGAAAGGGGCTCTGGGACAGCCCAACCCATCCTACTGTACCACAGACATCAGCAGCATCCCTGGGGCATGTGGCTCTCTGGTGAACTGGGTGTGGGCAGACCCAACGCCAGTCAGGGCCGAGACCCTGAGCAGGGGAGTCTTCGCTGGATCCACCAGCACCCAGGGAAGCTGCATGGGATGGCTGGGCTCCGCACCGCCAGCGTTCACCCCATGGGTGCGAGGGCATGTGGCTGACCCCCTTGCAGGGCTAGGATGATACAGAGGGTGAACAGGCAAACTATAGGTGATGAGACCAGTTCATCTGACAGCCCTGTTCCCACAGGCATTGTTCCCTGTCATGCACACACACACGCACACACGCGTGTACTCAGGGCAGTGGAGGGGAACACTGCAGCCACACCCAAGAGCCATTAGTTGGGGGAGAAGGGGAGCAAAGCTGGATCTTGCCCTCAGCCAGACGAGTTCTCCCAGCAGCAGCTTTGCCTGGTAACTGGTGACACCGCAGCCCTGCTCGGGAAGTCTGTGACAATGCCTGTCCTGGTTCCCCTTTCCTTCCCCATCACCGCCCGGGCGCATGGAGGCTACACACGAGGCTTGTGCATGTGGGGTGGGGGTGGTGGGGTGCCCTGCAGGCTCCGTGGGGCCCAGCACAGCGTCCGTGCAGAGGCTGGGCTGGAGGCCTTTGGTGCTGGAGCTCCAGGTTATGCCCATGACTGGGTCTGAGCCCACAGGGCAGGGACATGCTGAGCCCCACGTGTGTGAGCCTCACGCTCAAGGATTGAGACAGAGGCACAAATTGGCAAAACCGCCATTGCCGTGGGGCTGCAGAGGAGAAGCAGGCACTGAGGAAACCCCCAGACAAGGAGCAAATCCGTCCTGGGATGTAGACAAGGCAGCACAGTGGCTCAGGGCCCACTTCCCTCCTTGCTGGGAGCGGAAGAGGAAGATGCGGCTGGAACAGAAAGTGGATGACGTGCGGCGGGGAGGATGTGAAACCTGGCTACCTCGCACATGGGTGGCATGCTGGGGTCGCGTGGGGATACTAGAGGCGTCACTCTGAGCCCCCGGTGGGAAGCACTGGAAGAGGGCACAGCTGCAGGTCAGTCCAGTGTGAGGCGTGGTGGCAAGCAGACCTACTGCTCTGGGGCCTGAATAAAATCTACCTGGAGATAACCATTTCTAGGACAAAAAATATAAATAGCAGCAACAGCCAAGCCCCCACCCCCAGCATCACATGGTGGTGATCAAACAGGAGCCGCTGTCCCTCCAGGGCAGATCTGGGGCTGGCCCCCACAGTGGATGCATCTCCCTGCGACCCACATGCTGAGGGGGCTCAGCCCTGGGGAGCACCGGCACACCTTGGGGACACGGCCAGAGCAGAGGAGGTCAGCTGCTGCTGGGGACGTGAGGCTTGTCCTCCCCTCTGGCAAAGGCACAACAAGCACCCTCAACCTCAGGAGGACATTCGTGGTCCTGACATGAGATGCCAGCAGGGAGGGAGAAAGGGAATCAGTTTGGAAAGAGGATACAGTCCTGCACGGGTTGCAGGTAGTGCTGGCGGCGCAGGGCTTGCCAGAGGTGTCCAGAGGCTCCTGCCTTGGCCACGCAGACCCGGAGCCCAAAGGCGGCACATCCTGACAGATGGATCCCAAAACAGCTGCTGCTCGTTGCTGCCGGGTTTGGGTATGTGCGGGGGCTGGAGCCAGTGCAAGAGCTGCCGG